CCGAGGGAGTGCGGTTTGTGCTGCTGGGCGGCGGTGCTGGGGGGGGCGGTGAAACCGGGGGCAACCGTCGTCTGCTCAGCTCCGCGTGTGTAAAGCGCGCCACCGGAGTAACTGAAACTGGGGCAGAGTAGCGACGAGCAGGTGTTTGAGCACTTCAGCGTGGGGTTGTGTTTGCGCTGACAGTAATTTCTGGAGGAGTCGCTCTGCAAAGGCTGCGAGCGCAGGTGCTGCAGTGTCGCTGAAGGGCCGGGGTTGTGTGTGCGTGCACCCTCGGCATCGCGGCCGCAGGGGCTCAGGAGCGTTGCCACATACTTCATTTTAAAGAGAGACGTTGCGTTGTGTTCCTGTAAACTAAGGCTACGTGTCCTGACCCATTTCAGGAGCGCTGTAGACATGGCGTACGGCATTCATTTGTTGTGCTCGATAAACGGGAGAAATGCAACAGCAGAAAGAAGATGGTTATGTCTGACACACACAATAGTCACAACAGTTTGCGGTATTTTAACTTGAAGATTTTGCAAGTTTTTTAATATAAAATTGTCACTGTTTCTCGAATTTTGCATGTTAGTACGGTGTGAGTGCTTTATGTGTGTTACTTAAGAGCTACTTCACGCTCCAGGATGCGTAGTCCTTGTTCTGATTTCACAGTCACATTTACTCCTAAATAATGAATAAATGTGTTTGAATTGCATACTGAAACTGAAGCATTGCATTGTGGTTTTAGCCCCTTCTATCACATTGATAAACCTTCTTTCACACTTTTGTGATTTTTATTTTTTTTTTTGGTGTGATGACACTTCAGGTAATGTTCTGTTCTATTTTACACAGAGAATTTAATGGTTTTGAAAGTGTGTAATGCTACTTGTTAAAATCTTATAAACACCGTGTCCTGCCAAATCTTACAGTTAGTGAAGTATGGAAAGAAATGTATAATCATTTGCTTTATTGCTGGGATGCTTCCCTTTGAGATAGTTAAATAAATTGGTTCAACAGTAAAGAAACCATACATAATTTTCCAGATTCTTTTCAGATCACTTTTGACTGGCAGAAGGAGTTTGGGTTGTTTTTGTTTTTTGGGGTTTTTTTGTTTGTTTGGTTTTTTTTTTCCTGTCAGTGAAGTGGCAAGATCTGTATGTCTCCCTTTTTATCTATGAGTTCTTCCGTAGACACATCATTGTAGCTATGTACTTAATGAGATACTATACTCCATTATTAAAATGTGACATACAGTGTTATCTTTTTAAGAGAAGGAAACATTCACTGCATTTGGAAACTTCTGACATTTCTGGTGATAGTGTGCTATGCCTTGTGTAGGTATGCACTGGAAGTAGGAAGTGACTGCTGTATTTTTTCTCTTGCAGGTTTGCAGGAACTTTATGCTAATAAATAAAATAAAATAAGAAAAAAATGACATTAAGGAAAGGTATGTGTGTGTCTCATTTTTTAAAAATCTCTTGTACTTTTCTGAGTTTCCCAATCATTCTCTGGTTATATTGATAAAATTTTTTCTTCTGAATTTTCAGTGAACATTTCTATCCTTATAGTGGCTGTTGTCATATTTTTGCTAGTTCTTCATCATAACTTCCTAGGCCTCAGTGACTTCTTGAAACGGGAATTATCAGGTATGTTGGCTTTTATTTATTTTTAAATTAATTTTTTTTGTGTTTGCTGGGAAAGCCCATGCTCTGGCCAGACAGAAACCACCATGTTGCTGAAATAATGTGTATGATAGTGATCAGCGGTTTGCATAACAAGATACATTTTTTGTACTCTTTTATGGATAGATCTTTTCCTGTTCTCATACCCAAGAAATTTCAGCTTGGTGGGCTTGTCTGTTCTTGCTGTCCTATGACTTCTCGGTCAGGAAGCCAGGCGAGATAGCAGTAAGGGTTCCTTCTGGCTTTAAAAGTCATTAAGATATGGTTCAGTTTACTTAGCAGAGCTTCAGAGCTTCCCACAGAGCTTCTCCATGTCCCTATTAACTGCCAAGTCCCAGTTTGCCACTCCTGGGAGCTGCTGCTTCTGGGTAGCAGTTCTACAGGGGCTTCCTAACAGCAGTTGAATAGGAGCCTGACAGGCCTTAACGAGGAATTGGTTGAAGTCAAAGCTGTCATCAGGAAATGGCAAACAGAAGCAGAAGCCCAGCTTTATGAACAGCAGACTACTGCCCACAAACTGCCAAGTCCCTGTTTGCTATGTTCCTCAAATTACCTAAATTTTTTTAGTGTGTAGTCTAAATCCTCTGAAAGATGCCAGTGGTATTAAAAAAAAAAGTATAAGTAGTGGGCAATTTGCCAGCCTTGACAGGTAATGTGGTCGAGTAATAAATTTCAACACTGATCTCCCATTTTCCTATCTGCACGCTATGAGTATGAATTGTGGTTTCAGCTTAGATAACGTAGTGTGATCTATGATCCCTGGAATAAACATGGGCTGTACTTAATGCATTGGTCTTTGGTAGGAAAAAATTCACAACAGTGACTTTAATTTATAATTTCTGATTTCTTCATTGGTTCCTACCTAAGAGGAAAAGAAAGTATAAGAAAAAGAGGGAAGGGTGATGTGGAGAAGGCTAGAAAGTGGGTAGGGTCAGTGGTAGGGGGAAGTCAGTGAGGTTGTAGACATGGCAGAGGAGACCAAAGTTAAGTGCAGCCTACTGTGGTTTAAGCCTCATTTTAGCACTTTGTGCTGTGTGTGAATATGTACAGTTAAATGTATGTAGTCTATTTGTAAGTGTGAAGTTTTCCTATCAACACCTCGGATTCTCAAGAGCAGGTATATCGTAAGTGTTTGATACTGGCACACTGTAATCCACACAGCTGAGACATCTAAGTACTTGCATAGTAGAAATAATTGAAAGTGTTGGGAATTTTAGTGTGGTGATAATGTCTGTGTTACTGTTGCATAAAATAAATATGTGATGTCCTTTGTACTTGACAGATTCAAACCCGTTAGGACTTCAGCCTATAGATTTCATACCTGCAGTTCCTCAGAGGCTGGCAGATGAAAGGAATGATAAGGAGATTTCTGTGGTCATTGCAGCGTCAGATGAGAGGCTTGGGGGTGCAATTGCAGCCATGAACAGTATTTACCGTCACACCCGATCCAACGTGGTTTTCCATATTGTTACTCTGAATGACACTGTGGATCACTTGAGGTAATTATTTCATTAGATTCCTGCAATACTGTAAACCTTAAGTATCTCTGGGAAGAGGAAGAGCTGACTTTCCCTGGAACTGCACTCTAAATTGCAGTTGTATCTGCTGCTGCTTATTGCAGCTTTTTGACAAGGCTGCTGTGGGGAGTCCTACAGTCATTCCTTCTGGTAGTGTTTCAGGGATGGAAAACAGCTCTCTCTTCCAGTGGAGTTCTATCCAGCCAGTGGGGCTGGAGTTCGTTGGTGAAAGGATTGTAAAAGTTACTTCCTACGTTTCATCTAAGAAATTCAAATGCTGGCAGTGAAGTTTCTCCATTTTTCTAGGTTGTTCTTTGGTTCTTTTTCTTTTTACCCACCTTCATTCACACTGACATTTTTTATGAAGGACCTGTGATAGCAGGACCATATATTTCTAATAAAATAAGGAGCAACCTCATCCCTTTCTGTGTTGCTGTTAATAATATGTCTTGCTTTTCATTTGATTTTTGTCTCATTTAACAAGATCTTTGCCTTTCTCCTCTTAACAGGCTGTGGCTAAGTAACACTGCTCTGAAAAATTTGAGATACCGAATTTTGGATTTTGACCCTCGTGTCTTAGAAGGCAAAGTACAAGTGGATCCTCAAAAGGCAGACACCTTAAAACCAGTGAGGATGATGTTGGTTACTTTTTGCAATTAGTAGTTAGTAACAATATATTTTGATCTTGGCTTTTGAACACAATAGAGATCAAAACCAGATCTCTTAGCATAGAAGCAATCTTTTATATCAATTTCCTAAATTTCAGTAAGTATAAATTTCCAGATAGTGAGAGATGAATTTTGAGTATCTACATATGCATGCCCAGTATAATTTTTTTGCTGCTAGCTACAGCGAAACACAGCAGCTTGCATGTCAAGCATGCCAACACCTCAGAGATACTACAGATATATGTGGAGAAGAAATTCTGATACAGACCAGTTCTAAAGTTAGCTTATCAATGTGTAAATTCATAGGAAACTAAGAAACCTCTTCATTTAAAATAAACTTCTAGGATATTGCTGTCTATTTTACTTCCTTAATAGAAGTTGTTTTAGACATTAGTGCCATAGATAAGTGCCAGAAGCATCAGTCAATGTCACATTTATTTGGACAGTTTTTCATTTAATTCTTCACTTCTCTTGCTTTCTTGTTTTCACAGTTAACCTTTGCAAGATTCTACTTGCCCAATTTGGTACCTCATGCAGAGAAGGCCATCTATGTGGATGATGATATTATAGTGCAAGGTATGATGAGACAGACTTAGCCTTTTGCCACTGGCCTTATGCTGAGGTCAGTATGCCATCTCTTAAAGTAACCAATCACTTCTACTTCAAGAAAAG